CCGACAGTATCTGACAGCCATTCACCTGTCCTCTGTCCCTGCCAGGCAAGTGCCAAAGGTCTCCTCCAGGCAAGCGATGAGCCTATGGTGGGGCAGGGAAGCCCCCTGCCCCGGGACTTCTTGCCACAGTTCTAACCTTGGGCAAATGTATCAGCTGATAGTAATTTACTGTCATGTAGCTCTCACATCTCGTCTTAATAAATGTTTTCAGTAAAACCAGCCTGGGGTTGGGCTAGGGGTGGGGTTAGGGTGTCCCGGGCCCTTTAGTAGAGAAGCAGCCCTTCCCCAGGGTTAATTTGGCTACACCTGTCCCTCCCACTGCAGTTGGTGAGAGCCCAGATCAGCCCTTGGGGCCCTTTATTGAAACAACTCACAGCACAGTATTGGAGACAGTGTCGACCAGCTGAACCCCGGGAGGCTGAGAAATTGAGGTCCCAGCACCCTTCCTGCCCTCCTGGGGGGGAATTCCTCCACGAAGGCAACCAGACCTGAGGAGCCCCGGGCTGGAGGGTGAGCAGTCCGTACACAGAGGCAATAAGAGCACTTGGAATCAGGGTGGCCCTGCAGCGCTGCCCGAGGCTGAGGACCCCCAAAGTCTGACAGTTGTGGCATCCATGGGGGCAGACACACACTCAGCTGCTTTTATGAGCTCGTTCTTCCACGTAGAGCTGCATCTAATGGACAGGAACAAACGGCCATGTCAGGTGGACAGTCAGGGCACCTATGGAGGGCCCGTGAGCCCCTGGCAGGCAGATCTCTGCCAAGGGTTGGGTTGCGTGGCCACAACCAGGTATTAAGGGAAAGGGGAGGTGGTAGGAACCTTACGCCAGGTATTCCCTGGTAATCCCCTCCCAAGCCTTGTCCACAAGGCCTCAAGTACACCCTAAACAAAGCAGACCTGTTCCCCATGCAGCTCACCTTTAGAATGTCCGACGTCATGGTTTTGAGGGGTATGAGCCGGGGGTCATGCATGTGGACATCCTGCTCGTCTGCCAGGATCCAGGGGAAGTCCTAGGGATGGATCACGGTGGCTGGGTGGGAGGAGGCTGCACCCTGGCCCACCGGCCCTGTGCTTCCCCCTCCCCCTCCAGAGCCGGCCCTGCGATCCCCTCCAGACTTTGGGGAGCATCAGAATCACCAGGGAAGGACAGATTCCCATCTCCTGCTCTAGACAGGCCCAGTCTATAGGTCAGAGCTGGGCTGGGCACTAAGTAATTTAATACGCCCCAGCACTGATTCTGAAACTGTGGGGAAGGTCTCTCCCTGGAGAAGCTCCACTGAGCTGACAGCCCCAGCACACAGCCCACCCTCCTCAGTGCTGAGTGCCCAGGGGTAGCATGCATGGCTGACACACAACAAAAACCTACTGGGTGCCAGGCACTGTCATAAGCCATGTTATGAGTGCAGTGGCCACAGGCAGCACCCCTGCCCACTTGGAACTGTGGCATCCGCTTATCAGAGCCTCCCAGCTGTCTCCCTGCCCACCAGCCCTGACCAGTCTCATCTCACCTTGATGACCTGGATCTTCTCCATGTTGCGAGTGGCAGCTTCCCTCGTGTGCACCAAAACTGTGAAGGTACAACCTGAAGAGGCAAGAGTTTGGTCAAGGCTGGGCCACACCATGCCTGCCACCTCCCTAGCTGGCTCAGCAGCCCCACAGATCAGAGTATAAACCAGGTGTTAAGACAGTCAACAGGGTTACTGAAGCCAGGGTGGAGTCATCAGGGAAGCTTCCTGGAAGAGGTGGACTTTCAAAGTTCTAAAAGGCAGGACGAGATGAAGCTCAGTGCAACCCAATAGGAACTTGAGAACACAGACCAACCCAAGGCAGCAATGGAAACGCCCAGGGAAGAGGTGGTAGAAGGTGAGCACACCTGGGGGGTTGTGGTCCAGGACAGCATCACACACACTGATCTTCAGGATGAAAGCTCGGAGCAGCTGCTCCACATGAGACAGCAGCGAGTCTGAGCTAGGAAGGAGAGGAAGGTCTCCCATCACCTGGTGTCCCCTTCCCACCAGCAAGCAGTCAACCCTGGAAGCAGACATGGGGGTCCCAAGCCTCTCAAGGCTTCTGAGTGTTGGCTTCTAAGTGCCGCTACCTATCGTCTGGGGAGTTTAAAACCAATGCAGAGCCTCATCCCAGACTAGTTAAGTCAAGATGGGGGAAAGGGGTATAGGGAGCCCCTATGGGTGGTTCTAATATGCTAACGTCCCCCCCAGTCTGAGAACCAGGACCCCAGGCCTGAGGGGAAAGGGTTTGCCCAAGGCCATGTGGGGACAGATTCTATTGCCCTGATCTCATCAAAGGAAGCTAGCAGCTGACCAGCCAACATACCTCCCAAGGTCAACTTCTAATTGACTATGGACTACACTGCTTGACTGGGAAGTTAGGACACTTGGGGGGGTCGTGTCCTGGCTCTGCCATTTGGGTGACCCTGGGTAGTTCACATCACATCTCTGGACCAGTTTCTCCATCTGTATAAAATGAGGCTGGGACTAGCCATTCACCGGTGCTGTGGTTTTCCAAGTGTGACACAGGAGGGTCTCCATGTAACCTGTGTGATGTCCAGAGGAGACCACTTGGCGGCCTGTTAGGTTGGCACACCTTGCATTTCTCCAAGGTACTCTCAGAGCTGCCTGAAAGGAGTGAAGGTGGGGTGTTCCTAGGGACCTCACACCATCTAACAGGCGGATGGCAGAGAGGCAGCTCACCTGATGGACAGCAGCGGAGGCTGGGTGATTTCAAAGACGAATTTCTCCACTGGGCGGTGCTCTTTGTCCAAAATTACCACCACCACCTTCTCCACGTCATTCTGCAAGGACAGGAATCCCTTCCTTACTCCAGAACTGGGTGCCCCACCCCATCCACCATGCCCAAGGAAGGATGGGAAAGGGCACACTCACAACCCTGCTCAGCCTCTAGGCCGAGGGTCCCAGAGAGCCTGGGGAGAGGTTTGAGAAGTTCAAGTAGGCACTCCCAGAAATGAGTGGCATAGGCTAAGGGGAGAGACTACCTGGGCAGCCTTGGGTATCCCAAGGCATCCCAGAGAACAGGACTAGATAGGAGGAGGAAACCCTGAGGGCCCAAGCCCAGACAGGGGTGGGGGGAGAGAAACAGATGTGAGAAGAACCCAGAATCCTTCCGGGCAGGCCCCACTCATAGAACCATCCACTAGCCAGGGCTCCTGGGCCCAGCACACCTTGCACGTGGCCCACGTGCCCTAGGGCCTGTCCCAGGGCAAGAAACAGACTTCAGGATGTGAGAGTCATAGGGAGCTGCATGGTCCCAGCATCCCCCATCCCATAACAGGTGTGAGGTGGGCCAGGGGGGTGGGTTCAGGGCCCCGTGCCCTCACCTTCTCCAGGAGCGGCTTAACACAGTGCAGCGTGTCCTGGATATACTGGTTCAGCTCCGGGTGGCAGGACATCTGCAAGCAATGCCGTGATGGCTGGTGAGGCCAGCAGCACTGATGGGGAAACCACCCAACGTCCCCTCCAGGAACCCAGCCCTGTCTGCCTTTGCATAGAGGCCCAGCAGTTTCCTAGGCCTTCCTACCCAAGCGACCAACTTCCCATCACAGAGCTCAGAACTCTGAGTTATCCACAGAGGGGGAGAAGTTAGAAGATAAGAATTCAGGCGCAACATCAGCACTTACAGCATTAGGGTTTCCTAATGTGGGGGGCCTTTGGCTCCTTCAGAATCTGAGAAACTCCTAAGTTGTGTTTACTTGAGTATATTGGCATTTTTCAAGAGAAGGGATCCAGAAATTTAATCAGTTTTCAAAAGTTAAGAATCTGGAACTAAGGAGCATTAGTTCCTGGAACTAAGGAACTAAGAAGGCACATCACTTCGCTGAGCTTTAAATAAACTTCATCTGTTAAGATCTCAAAAAAAAAAAAAAAAAAAAGAGA